GCTGCATGGGCTTCCAGCAGCATCCGGACAAGTTAGCTTCGCGAGCAGGGCGGAACTTCGTCAACAGCTTGCCCCCTAAACCCTAAACCCTAAACCCTAAACCCTAAACCCTAAACCCGAAACCCTAAACCCTAAACCCGAAACCCTAAACCCTAAACAGCTTGCCCAGCACAATCCTTTGGCTGGACTTTAAGCCACCCATAAGAACCTCAATCCCGACGCCCTCAGACCCCGCAAAGGAGCCCTTAACGGGAGGCTTAAGGCCTCGGGTTTGGGGCTTAGGGTTCAGGGTTCAGGGTTTCGGGTTTAGGGTTTAGGGTTCAGGGTTTCGGGTTCAGGGTTTAGGGTTTCGGCAAAAACACTGCTCATAGAGTCCCCAAGCCCCGAAAAAGCCGACAGAACATAGTGAAGTCCTGTACAACCCTACTTAGTCCCCTTGAAAGCCAATAAGACCTTAAGCGCTGAACCTGTATAGACCCCTTAGAGAAACCCGCGAACCCGTAGCACCCCCAAATGAACCCATGAAAGCCTCCAGCCCGAAACCTTGCGCCCTGTCGACTCCCTGTTGCATCCTCATGGAAGCCTTAATGACTCGAAATGGAAGCCATACAGAACACCATAAGAATTTTGCGACCTAGCAGAAAACCCCTGAACCCCTAAAGCCCTAAAACACCCCTGCACCCCAAACCCCCAAACCCCTACACATACCAGAAAGGATCCCCCTAAACCCTTAACCCTCATAGATACCAGAAAGGATCCCTCTAAACCCTAAACCCTAACCCCCCCTTAAAGGAGCCCTAGAAGAGATCCCTAAACCCTGAAACCTTAGCACCCTAAGCACCCTAAGCCCTAAACCCTGAACCCTGAACCCTGATCTGAACACCCTAAACCCTGAACCCTAAACACCCTAAACTCTGAAGCCTAAACCCTTACCCTGAACCCTGAACCCTAAACCCTATAAACCCTAAACCCTGAACCCTAAACCCTGAACCCTAAACACTCTAAGCTCTGAACCCTAAAACACCCTAAGCCCACCCTTAAAGGAGCCCTAGAAGAGGAGCTGGACCTACGCCTCGGTGAGCTCGAGGCAGCCCTGGGCCTCCCGAACGACGGCTCCGAGGTCGCCCGGCGTTTTTTTTTTCTCTCTCAACTTTTTTTTTGGTAACTATATTTTTTTTGTATTTTTCGTATCTTTTTTTTTTTAAAAAAAATAATTTTTCCTCCTGTATTTTGCAATTGTGCGAGTCTTCGGTTCATTCATGGTTGTTACTATTGTGGGGTAGTGTTTCCGGAGTGTTTAAGAGCTGGGGGGGGGGGTAGGGTGTCACAGCTTTTATCCAGGGGCCTCTGCGGTTCTGCTAGGGTTCGTGCTCTTTTTGTTGTGGCCTGTGTTGGTTCTCCTGGGGTCGTCTCAGGCGGAGGAGGGCTCATGTGTTTGGCGTTAGCCCTAAACCCTAAACCCCTAAACCCTAAACCCTAGACCCTAAACCCTAAACCCTAAACCCTAAACCCTAAACCCTAATCCCGAAGCTGCTCTGGATGGTTTTGGGTTTCACCATGAAGTTTTGGTGTGGAAGGTGCATTCCGAAGGCTCGCTGTCATTGAGCCTTGAGAGCAAAGTGGCCCTTGCAGCACTCTTTTCGAGCCTTCAAGAACATGGGGGTTTCCGAAAATAGGGGACCCTAATATAGTATCCTAAATAATAGGATCCCTATTATAAGAACCCCAAAATAAGGTACTCCTAACTTTCTGAAACTCCCACATCATGATACCCTGCACAGCCCTAGAAGACCCCGCAGCAAACGCAGGGTGTGTGTCTAAACGCCTTGCCATGATCACATAGCGGCTTTCTTCTAGCAGACAGTGGGGTAGAAATTGGCAACGCCCTTAATCCAGCTACCCTAACCCTGAACCCTAAATCCTAAACCCTAAACCCTAAACCCTAGACCCTAAACCCTAAACCCTAAATCCTATCCTCAAGAAGTTGCGCTACCGTCAGCCCTGGCTGGCAGCACCTTGTGCACCACTTAACAGCCGAAGCCCTGAACTCTTGAATTCTGAATCCGACAGCACATGCAGGATCCGCAGAGTAACCACTAACATAGGGGTCTAAATAAGTACCAATACTATTTTGGTGGCTTTCTACTCTAATTATAGCAAAAATTGGCCCCAAAACCCTGTTCTGCTTATTCAGGCCCCTAGCTTATAGCAACCTCTATCCCTTACCCTAAACCCTAAACCCTACATTATAGCAACCTCTATCCCTTACCCTAAACCCTAAACCCTAGACTATAGCAACCTCTATCCCTTACCCTAAACCCTAAACCCTAGATTATAGCGACCTCTATCCATTACCCTAAACCCTAAACCCTAGATTATAGCGACCTCTATCCCTTACCCTAAACCTTAAACCCTAGATTATAGCGACCTCTATCCCTTACCCTAAACCCTAAACCCTAAACCCTAAACCCTAAACCCTAGATTATAGCGACCTCTATCC